ATTACAGAGAACCATGACCAATCAAGATGCAGAATAATGGATCCCAGTCCCAACAGATACATATCTTTGCATCTAAAAGTCACAATTTGGAGATTTTCCAAAGCAAAATGGGAAATTTGCTAAAAAATAGTCAAATGTGGAGAAATCTATAAAAATGTTGGGTAATGATTTTATTTCTTTTCAGATTTGTATAATTATAAAATGTTAAGCTAGATAATGATTACTCAAAGCATTTAGCTTGCAAATGAAGAAACATGAGCAAGAAGAAGCAATATGTTTAGCCTGAGGTCACCCACCCTCTAAATTGCAAACCATGACTCAGTCTTGGGATTGCAATCCTGAACCTGGCTTTTGGTCCCTTTCCCACAAAACCATAAATCTGTTGATTTGTTTCTGTTACCACTAGCTGTAGACTCATTTTCTTGATGTAATGGACTCTTTCTCTTTTCATTGCCTATTGATGAAGATAGGACTGGCCAACCTAACAATTCAAGCATAACAAAAATACATATCCCTTGGGCTGCTGGAAGTTGGCACAGCTTGCCTCAGAATTTCTATATTTGGGGTAAAAAATGGTGAGATGAACCATTTAAAAACAGAAAATGCATGGCAGGTGAGCAATTTTGAGGTGACTTAAATTAGTCTTTGGAAATAGTCACAGTAGAGACCACCCAAACCCATGTAAATATTACTAAGTATGATTATTACCCACCACAGTTAAACACTGCTAGGCAGAAATGTTGGCTTAATCCTCAGAATCTGAATAGGTATGTCTAAGTTTTTAATACTCATTCTTCAACTTGGTAGGTACATCTGCTCCAAAAACATCATAAGTCCATAAATACCATGATTGCTAGGTGATGAGCATTACCTTAAGCAGTTTGCCTTTCTTTAAAAAGAACATTATGGGAACTATGGATATTAGTTTTGCAGTAGAATGTGCTTGTCTAGAAAGTGCAGGGTTTGAATCTCAGTACAGCAAAATTCAACCAAAAACAAAGGGAACACTAAACCCTCAAATGCTATGCCTATACTTAGGTAGAGAAGAACCAGAAAGATTCAGATGCATGACTGATGGGGAATGTCCTTCTGTATATGTTTATCTTATTGGTTGTTGAATAAAGTAATGTTGGCCAATGAAGAAGCAGGTTAGGTGACTAGAAGTCAAGGAGGAGTCTGGGAAGTGTAGTAAAAGAAAGTCTTGTGATACAGGCAGGAACTGACATAGCAGACAGACTCATATATAAGCAAGGACAAGAAGGAAGTCGTTCCTTCTCTCTCTCTTCCTCCTGCTCTCTGGTCTGGAGTCGCCATATGAGCCCAGGAAGACAGGACACCTTCGGAGGCATCCTCCATAAGATAAGTCTTGTGATTATGGTTGATAATTAAGACTGAGCTAGCAGATGAGAAATCCTAGTCTTTGGCCAAGTAGCATTTGTACCTAATAAAGGTCTCTGTGTGTTACTTGGGACCTTAATGTGGCGGCGGGCAGAACTCAGGCAGCTGGCAGAAAGTGCTCATGTGGCAGCTTGGCAGAAAGACTTATTGATACAGAATGATGGCCATGGGCTGCTTGGCAGAAAGATTTATTGTTACACATGACTTTAAAACCAAGCCACAGATAAACTTGAGTACTCACCCAGCATGTGCATGCTCCTTGTGGCTCCTTTTCTCAACTCTCTGATAATAACTATAGATAACTTTAAGCAAATGAGAAAAAAAAAACGTATAAATCCATAAAGACAAAATGAATGTGTGGCAATACAGTGCCAAATATACCAGAAAGCTGATCTTATACTGACTCAAGAAAGCAGAATTCTAGATCAGAGTTATAACTAGAAGTAGCTCTCAGAACACTGGTGACCACTCCCCCATCCCATCCTCATAACTCCAGGATGGTCCACTCAGGCCCACTGCAGATGGGAACATGGCATAGCTTTAAATGGAAAGAGACCCAAAGCCTGCACAGAGGCAAACACTTAACCTAGACGTCTACTCTTAGTCAAGCCTAGAGGAGTCTGGACTTATGTAATCAGGACAGACTAGAGCAGATCTGTGGACTGGCTGAATGGTTTCCAACATTCCCTGATGAGAACCTGAAAATGAATATTTGTATATGAACTTTTCATATCTCTTTCCCCTCCCACTGCTTTCACAGGAATTTCCACAAAGTAGCC